AGGACAAACAAAACATCATTAGGGTGGAAAGGCAAAAATAAGCTTAGCCAGAGAAATAATTAAGAAGAATTTGTTCTGAACTTAATGAAACGCGTCCTTAATACGTCTACTGATTTTAATTAAACGTTCAAACGGTAAGTAAATAAGAATATTTACCGCCATTTAAGAATAATGTGCTGGAAACCCCTTTTCGCGGAAATTTTTCGTGGACATCTACACAAATATTAATATTCCAAATGCTAAGGTGTCCTATTTGAAAAATATTATAATTTCTTGTTATTTCTGAGTATGATAATAAAATCTTTTGTAAGAGAAGTAACTTTTCCGATCAAATTAGTCTGCCGTCCTGGGACAATGTTTGAAAGTAACCAAATAACTTTGTAGAGTGTGTCAGCGTTGAGTACAGTTAATGTGATGTGCGGTTATGCTAGAAAAAGGGCAATTTCCGATGCTCCTGGTATAGTTAGCAACTAAGACACTAGCAACCCACCTCTCTACAATAAGGCAACCAATTTATGTAAAAATACATATGAACTAGATTTGGTAACGATGCAGATACAGCCGAGACTAATTGCTGTACATCCTTTGTGAATCACGGAACGTCTTGGAAGCCAATAGTGTTATTTAAGTTAGTCTCCCAATTACATAATGAATAATTAGAAAGCACATTACAACTGTTATGCCCACAGAGAGAGCGTACATAAATGTACGCATTAAAAAGCCATACATATTTTTTTCCTATCTATTTTAGTAATTTGACATAGCCCTAATAATGTTTTGAAAGTTCGAGATTAAAATCAATGAAACGCGCTTTATAACTCGTTACAAAGTATTTACTAAATCATATCTTACCTGTTGTAGTTGTGCTGTTTTACAAACATTAAATTTTTTCTAAATTCTAAGACGCAACATACATGTCATGTTATGCCATAATGCCATACATGGCTATAGGAATAGTATTTGAAAAGTCCTCAGTTTTCGGCATTGCAATATTTGTCTCTAAACATAAAATGTTTGCGGAACCAAGCGCAACATTTCGCGTGTGATACCCGCCATAGCCGGTTGAAAGTAAATGGTGCAGAAAAATGCAAATTTGCGAATCGCGCTCAGCAATCTATCCTCTAGTTTCAGTTTACCAACTAAAACTACCGCTACCCGTGAAATTTATGAAACTTTTTTCAATGATGTAATAAGTAACATTAAAAAATAATAATAGAATTCATTAGAGGCACAGACCTACGTCAAAAAGCCGAATACTTAGATATAATTAATTGTAGAAGTTTCTTCTTTTGTTATCAAGTTGAAGGAAGCTCTTGAAAGCCTGATGAATTTCGAAATTTTCGTTATAAATGATGTAGAGGAGGATGTCTACCTCATAGGAGCATATTTACCTTCTATAAGGCCAATTTAGTTCAGCTGTTCTGACAGCAAATATCATATAACAAAGGTAACCTTTAGTTTATAAAAATCCTGTTGGCCAAAGATTTAATGAGTAACTCGGATTACTGTAGGAAACGGTACATAGTATTTTTTTTCTCTGCACATTCGTTCGTTATATCATATCTTCGTTTTCAACGATTGTTTTTATTTCCGCAAGCACATATATATATGTCCTCGGTCTCCAAATATGATGATTGCTTCGAAGTGATTTTCCGTACAGAAAGTTTTTCTACTGGAAAAAACCCGCCCGTGAACGTTTCCCGCACTATTGTTGATGTTCACGATATCACTAAACTTGTTTAATAATTTCTGGACAACTCAATAGTTAGTTTGTGGTTTTGCCAAAACAAAACTATTAGTATTGCTTGTGAACTTATTATATGTTTATCTATACAAGTTTTTTGTTTATATTTTGCGAAACTGCTTTTGTATAATGAAAAAATGGTTTTATTTTACTTGAGTAAAGATAAATGAAGTAGGAAAATAAAACAATAATTGTTTATCTGCCAAGTTGTAGGTTAAGTTAAAAACATAACTACATAGTGAGCGTGTGAAGTGACAATTGGCTCCGAAAATAATAATAGGATCGAATAAAACGGATCTGAATTGATATTATCTAAGTTTTTTTTAATGTGAATATTGTAATTTCATTTCAGAAGTAAATAACATTTTAATAAAGTTTTATTTGCTTTTATATCGTTCACAAAATTTCGATAAATAATAAAAATACTACGTAACCAAGTAAACTACCGAAAACATGTATCATATTTACAGCAGATATATATTTCGTTAATTTTTCCCTATTATATGAAATTTTCGAATATCCACACCCAAAACCTAAATAAATCACAAACATCCAATTGCAAAGAGGGCACTATACTTTTTATAACTATGGGTACTAATATTTACTTTCAAGCAGATGCTACAAAAATGCTATGAAGACTCGCAAGGGAGTGAAATTGGGGGCTTATGACGTACTCAAACATCCCCTGGGGTGCAATAAATATCACGCTGTACCCTGTTTAGCCTCGACATCTTAGCAACACCACGATAAAAACGAAACTTCCTGCAACGCAGAGCAAAAAAATAGCATCACAAACTTAATAAAATTAAATTTTGCCGCCCTGAAGACCTGCTTGTTTTTGTATCCCGTACTGTCGTGGAGGGTAGTTATTTCCTTAATCTCCCGAACCACGCCTGTTCTACAAAGAATGCCATATTTTTCTTGGCACTCCTCCCTAATAAAAGTGTTTTGCTTCCGCCCTGAGCTTGGCCGTAGCTTTACTTCCTAAATGAGATAGACTTTGTTTTTTCTGCGTCATCATTTGACATGAAAGTTGGACCACAAATTGTTTTATTTTAGATGCGAAAATTGAGTGGTGCTTATTGTTGACAATGATGTCCGTTTAAGAGTACCAAAATTAAAAGTTGGTGAAAGGAAACGGATTTATTTCATGAAGATAATATTGTTTAGGCAAAAGTAACGTAACTGTTGCTTTACTTGCTGCGGAAAAATAGATACGATAATAATTTCAGTCACTTTATATAATTTCTTAACCAGCAATCGCTTTTGCTGATTCTAATTACATTTTAATGACGGATACTCATTTGCGGCTGAACTCATGTGAGAAATAATAAAATGGGTAATGTATAAAATGTGAAAAAATAAGTAGTATGATATTTTTTAAACTTTTAAAAATAACATGATCCCTTTCCATGACGACCTCCGCGGCCGAGTGGTTTGTACGCCGGGTTTCATGGTATCGCCGAATCGAGAGGACCCGGGTTCGAATCCCGGTGGGGGCAGATGTTTGTGTGATGAATACGATCATTTGTACTCCAGTCATGGATGTTTAATATGTATTCTATATAAATATACTTATATATGTACAGTATATGTATTCTATCCGTTACCCTAGTATCCCATAACACGAGCCTTATAGTGCTTACTCTGGAGCTAGGCTAATTGGTGTGTGTGTGTGTAAAAAAATGAATTCGAAGTTTATTTAAGAATGCAGAATTTAGTTCTGTACTTTTATTCCTACTCTACTTGTTACTATACTTTTGGGATATTTATTTTTGATAGACACATTAGTGTTATAAGTTTCAACGGTCTGTAGCAAAAATATATGTTAGGTTGAGCAAAAACTTTAGTTATTACTAATATATGTATAAATACTTATTTCTATAATTAGAAACTGCGTAAAAACTTTTTATTTTTAGCTAGGGGTTGTCAAAACTTAAAATGTTAGATGGGCTGATAGATGAGTCCGGAAGTGCAGATAAATTTTTACATCAACTCTCAGCCAATATCATATAACAACTAATACCAACATCATTGAATCTATCTCGTGTTACTTAGGTTACTCACTCTTAGGTACATACCGTAAACATCAAACAAACACTAAATAAAACTAGTTTTTACGGGTTAATGCACGAAACTTTATTTATTTATTGACGTTTCGTAGCCTTTACAGGCTACGTCGTCAGAATTAAACTTTTATTTAATTTGTCGAGCTACCTTCGAAAGACTTTTATTGAGCGTTCGGTTATTTCATTGTTCGATTTTTAAAGTTTTATTGTCTATGTATGGATTTATTATGAAATTTACTTAATAAAGTATTTTATTTAAATTCTTTTTTGTAATTTTGAGTTTATTTATTTGACACAAACTACCGTAAACTACCACCGGTTCCAAAATTGGGAGACCTTTCTGAGAAGAACGCGCGAAACAAACTCAAGAGAGGCTTTCTATCTCCTTCTTGTGTTAAATTATGCAAACAAAAAGAACTAATAGTATCTGATGGTCTTGCAGTGTGTGCTCGGGGTTGGGATTTTATCTCCTGTATAATAGGTTCCCAAGCTGGTGGTATATACCAACCATCTTCCCTATTGAAATTTGGATATTTTTTAATCTCAATAGCCTCGCGCATCATTCGAGGAACGAACCGCCGCTCAGCTGCAAGAATCTGTGGTTTATCAAATCTAATGTAATGGTTTGGTCCCCCTAATGCATGTTCACACACTGCAGACTTATTTTCGCGCCTATGTTTATATGATTCCGACGTAATGTCCCATAAGCATGGGAGATCTCTATAGAGATCAATTATTTGGAACTGGTGGTAGTTTACGGTAGTTAGGGTCAAATAAATAAACTCAAAATTACAAAAAAGAATTTAAATAAAATACTTTATTAAGTAAATTTAATAATAAATTCATACATAGACAATAAAACTTAAAAATCGAACAATGAAATAACCGAACGCTCAATAAAAGTCTTTCGAAGGTAGCTCGACAAATTAAATAAAAGTTTAATTCTGACGACGTAGCCTGTAAAGGCTACGAAACGTCAATAAATAAATAAAGTTTCGTGCATTAACCCGTAAAAACTAGTTTTATTTAATGAGTGATGTGCGTGAAAACCTAAGAAACAAATATCAAACAAACACATTAAATTACGACTAGAAAACAAAAACAACGATAATCGATCTAAATGATTTTATAGTTGCTATTCTTCAGTGCAATATTAGCCAATTAATGAATCTCTAATTTGTCAACAGCTGGACTGGCTCCTGATGGACGGGACAACGGTGACGTCAGTGGCGGGCTTGCGGAGGGTGCTGGCCAACGGGTCGTTGGAGCTACCCCCCTTCCCGGGAGAGCGTTACCGCAGGGATGTCCACTCCACCACCTACCGCTGCCGGCTGAACCTGAGCAGCGGCTTCGCGGTGCTCTCCAAGAACATTCACGTCCACGCCTACTCCGGTAATTAGAAACAGACAGACTAGGACCTCCAAGAGGCAATCACCAATGGGAAAGCCCTGGAGGCGCTATTGGTGGAGCTGAGCTGGCTGGTTCGACTCCAGCAACACATACACCACACGCAAAACAGGCCTTATAACATTCTCTCCTCTTCTCTGCTCCTCCATGCATCGAAAGGCACGTTATCCCTGCTGCATTGCAGTCGTCATCACCCGCCAAATTGCACGGGACTCGCGGCGGGTCATGGCCCAATCTGCCTATTCCATCCATGGGGTCGCTGGAGCTGCCTCCCTTCCCGGGAGAGCGGTACCGGAGGGATGTCTACTGCACAACCTACCGCTGCCGGCTGAGCCTGAGCAGTAGCTTCGCGGTGATCTCCACGTAGTTAGAAAGAGACGTACAGTTACAGAAAAACTCCAAAGAAAAAACATACACATATTATAAGGAGGACTTTAAAGAGGAAATCACCAATGTAAAAGCCCTGAGGGCATTCTTGGCGGAGCAGGGCTGGATGGCGAAAAGGTCGTATAACCGAAATTACACAATAAGGCAATTCCTTTGCCATAAATTAATAATTACTTATGTCAAAAACAAACAAAACAATATTCAGGAAAATAATAATTTGCAGTGGAATTTAAGGCTTTTCAAGAAATTGTTTCTTTATCTGACTTCTATTTTTGTAACTGCAGTTTTTGGCCTTTGAAGTAAAACGAATCAACAAAAAGCCGGGTTTTTTTTGCATATTTCTTGTCTCCAAATTCAAGCACTGCCCTTAATTTATTAGAGAGAAATCCTTAACCGTCCATAAATTTTTTGGCATCAAACTTGGCACAGAGCAAATCCACTTTTAACATAATAATATAAAATATTATTTTTACGAGAATTGCTTTGATCCAATTCCCATATATTCACATCTTTTTGTAGTTCCATTATTTTAATTGCATTTTTAGCCCCGGCGGGCGGAGGGCTCTCCTTGCGCTTTATAACATTACAAAGAATAGGAGTCCAAATACTTTATATTTTAACCTTTATAAAAAAAATAAGTAGAAGTGACTAATAATGAACAGAACAGTTTGAATTTGTAAATTAATTCACTTAATTGTGCCTTTCTTCATTTAATATCAATTCTGTCTTCTTAAGCAGCTTTAATTTGATCTTAATAAAACAAAGCGACAGCAAAGATTAGTAATGAATCTTTAAATCATTAAATCGAATAAAACACATCCCTACAAAGCTTTAGAACTGGTGACAACTGGAAATTTAGGGTAGTGCCTTAAAAGTCAATGATGATGTATTTCCCTACATTCCTTTGCTGGGCTAAAATATTGAATAGCGAGGAGCATTTTTAACCCTTGTTATTAATATATGGATTACTAATTTATGGGCAAAAATATGACCCAAAATATCTCTACCTCATCGCAAAATATTTTACGCAAATTTTCAATTGGCAAAAAAACATTTGTCAAATCAACTACTCATCTTCGCAATTTTTCATTTACCAAAAACCTCAAACCTAAACCCGTTTTTGGCAAATTATTGTTTAACAAATAATTACTTGGGCACGTTTTATTTTACAAAATATTATTAAGTCAAATGTATTGCTAAGCATAGCAAACTTTTCCCAAAACAAGTTCGTTACTGGCGTTTCGCCGGCTGCTGCCGCGGCATACTCGCTCTGTTCGCTCGCAGTTCTAACCTACATTAAGACTTTTTTGGCTTATTACGTGTAAATGTATTTAATTTAGAAAATATTATTTACAAAATAAAACATTTGCTTAGTAATAAAGTCGTTTAGGTTTATTTTCTCAGCAAAAACACTTGCATCTTGCATAACAACTTTTGAATATCTAATTACATAAATGTTTGTGTGAGGCTGATGCCCGCGCTAGGTAATATATACCTGTGTTGCAGGTCATCAGACTTAATAAAACTAAACTAATAAAACTTGACAAAGTATAAAATGATGCCAAATCATAATTTTACTAAATTAAGTATTCACTTAGACAAATTGGTTTAATGCGAAATGTTAATTTGCTGAAGATTCATTTGCTAAATGAAACTACCTAGTGCGATAAATTTTTGGTCAGCGAAATTTGACCAAAAGTATTTGACCTTAAAGAAAGGCAGTAAATCTTAAAATATTCTCGTTTAATTATAGCGTTTTTTTTCATCCTATCAAAGGGCAACTAAACTTTATATTATTTATATATATAATATATATTATATTATTTACATTTTGACCTTTTTGTTTTGTATAGCACTAAACTCGGCGTGGGAAGTCCACGTGCCTGACGAGTATGTGATGGCGGGAAACGCTGCTGTGCTGCGGTGCGTGGTGCCCGCCCACTGCGTCGACAGAGTGGACAGCACTGACTGGCTGACGGATGATGACGTCAGCGTGCTGCGGTATTTAGGTAAGATATAGGTACTTCTGCGGTGCGTGATGCCCGCCCACTGCGTCGGCAGAGTGGACAGCACCGACTGGCTGACGGATGATGACGTCAGCGTGCTGCGGTATTTAGGTAAGATATAGGTACTTCTGCGGTGCGTGATGCCCGCCCACTGCGTCGGCAGAGTGGACAGCACCGACTGGCTGACGGATGATGACATCAGCGTGATGCAATATTTAGGTAAGATATAGGTACTTCTGCGGTGCATGATGACTGTGACGACAGAGTGGACAGCACCGACTGGCTGACGGATGATGACGTCAGCGTATTGCGATATTTAGGTAAGACATAGGTATCTACTTCTGCGGTGCGTGATGCCCGCCCACTGTGTCGACAGAGTGGACAGCACCGACAGAGACAGCGTGCCGCGGTATTTGGGTAAGATTTAGGTGCTTTTACCCTACATTATATTCACTTACAATGGCCCACGCCGCAGAAAGTTTGCTGAGGTTTAAGCACGAATTTTGGACAGCTCCGTAACGTATCGTCAAAGTTTTTATGAAAACTAAGCCGCCTATCGGACCTAAGAACAAACTAGCTTTTTCCATATAAAATTTGACGATGAAGTTATTTACAAAGCTGTCAAAAATTCGTGCATCGGCCTCTGTTTACAAACACCTGCGACGCAGGATATTGCGTGGTGTATTCTGTCAATGAGTGTGGTGCAAGGGCTACTCACCTATTTATTGTACCAAAAGTTTTCGCAAATGAGTTTCACTGACAAGAGATGGAGTGAAATTACAATTATTACCCCTGAGGTTCTGTTAGGTAGTTTTAATACGTAGCGGTTCAATCAAATTGAACAACACTACTGCTCTGGTAAATACTTTTATTAGGAATTGTCAATAAATATTACGTTTACAGCTTTTTTATCTTACTCTATTGTTTACTGGGTGAATTTTATTGTACGTAACAACCAAACCTAAATTACAGTATTTTGCTTAAGGTATCTATTATTTGTGAGGAATATAATGAACAGGTGTTGTTACCTCCTGAAACTTTAGAAAGATCTTGCCGTAATCACGTTAAGCGGCAACATCCCGAAGTTAAACATACCTAGTGAAATTTATATCTCTTCCGAAATTCAGGTTGGAGGCAAATATTTGTCACGAAATTTCCTCATCAAAACTCTTGTCAAGGCACGACACACGCAATTACATTTTCATCCGAAATCTCATTTTCACCAAAAGAAAATAAGGAACGCTTAAACGGAACTCGAAGGGTTTTCTGGGGATACGATGTTTTTACGGTTGGGGTGTGCTGTAATAGCTACTTAGGAACACGCTCGTTTTATGCAAAACAGAAAAAATCTATGATGAGGAAGAAAATAACTCCTTTTGATGTTCACTGGAGAAGAAAGCCATTTAGATAAATCTATTGATTAATAGAAAGTAGATAGATAAAGATTCAACCTTATCCGTAACAGTAAATTCAGCACATACTGATATGTGTTCAGATTGCTAGTCGGCTAAAGGCTTTGCACTCTTTCCGCATTATTAAAAAACCTAGCCTAAAGTTAAATCTGGACTAAAACTGATGCTTTTCATTTTGTTTGATAAAAAGAAGACAGAGACCACATTTGGTTTAAACCAAGACCAACTTTAGACCGCGTTTTAGAATAAGGCGGTTATTGATTACACCGTTGTTGCTGTATTGCATATCAATGTTTTGAGATAACAAAAAAATTTAATTATTTGTTGTACATATGAAATCCTGATCTCGCAAACGAATTTATTGTTTAATCCTTAAAGCAAACCCGCCATTTGATCCATTATTTTTCCATCCATTTATAATTAACATCGGAATGTTTAGGATTAAAGTGCATACCTAAAAAGTTTTATTAAAAATTAATCCCTTAGGTAGGGGGTATCCAAATAGAGGTATATTTTTCTCTCCCTCTTTTTATTCAATCGTGTCTATAATCCATCGTCGATTCTGCTGTGCCACAACGCACGAGACGCTGACCGCGGTGGATAGCGGTTGCGCGGATGTCAATTTGTATGGCTCACCCGCGCGGTTACGCGGATGCCAATACATTGCCGTACCTATATGCCTATACAAATGACGAATCCGCCATCCGACGCGGTTTGCGCTTATGCATTCTTCACCTAAGTTAAAGTAATAAACGTATATCAATTCAGTCGTTTATTTTTTTTAACACAGTCACAGCTATCGTTACTAAAACACAAATTCATAAACATTTATGTATTTGCTTGCTTACTCATTTGTTATTCGTAATTTTCATTTTATATTTTAAGTTCTAGCTACTGTTCAAAAAACGATACTTTATAACCACTATTAAGACACAATAATAATTACATTGGCTTAGCAGAATACCCTGTACAGTTCCACAGTTACGTACGTAATGGGGTAAGAGTAAGCTGGCTTTGCTACTATAAGCTGCTTCTACAGCTCTGCAATAAAGGACTTCGCATTATTTCTAAGTGCCAAATTAAAATTATCTCCTCCAAAAGAAAAACTTCTACAACGGAATTAAATCTTTTTATATGTTTTCTTTAAAAAGCCCTTATATACCTACTACTAGCGGACGCCTGCGACTTTGTCCGCATTGAATTTAGTTTTTCAAGAATCCCATAGGAAGTTAACCTTTTTTCTGGGACAAAATGTATGATATATCTCATTCCAGGTCATAAACTTTACAACTTTCATCGAGTAAATTTTACGTTATTGAGAAACAGACATACAAACATACACATTTACAATATTAGTAGGATTAACAACACAAAAAATTATTTGCACATTATCTTATTTAAATCATCATTGCCTCCAAATTAGGATAAAAGAAAATGATATTAAGGAAAACGAAGTCACGATTGTTGAATTTCATTACATCGTCAAACATAAGCTTATCTGATCTTGTTTACTCTAACTTCTATGTTGTAGTTAGGGGGATCATCGAGATATGAGAATGTTATATATTAGAACACATTTATTTTATACTAGCTGTGACCCGCGGCTTATAAGGCATATTTTCCCACAGTAAAACGTAGCCTATGTGTTAATCCAGGGTGTCAACTGACTCCATACCAAATTTTATTAAAATCGCTCCAGCCGTTTAGACGTGAAGAAGTAACAACTATACAAACTCACACACTCACAAACTTTCGCCTTTATAATGTTAGTGTGATTATATATATATAGGTATATACATATTAGACCAGGCAACGAATGCTCAAAAACAGGTAAAGAGGGAAATGCTTGGAACACAATTTTTGACTTCGTAACTTTGTTTGGACTAGTTAGAATATATATATATATTCTGTCATTGATATAATATATTAACTATAAAGCATTATGCGAATATACTGCAGTCGTGTTTAGCTTTAGATTCAGAAAACTTTAATAAATCCCAATATTGATAACATTATGGTAAGGGAGAGATTGAACTTTCCCCTTTCAGAATCGCTACACTTGACCTAATAATCCAGAGATAATATCAGCAGAAATCGAGATAGGTATTTGCTAACCCAAGCAAGTTTAATCGTAATTGATGTCGAAACAAAACGTATTAAAAGCAAATTTTGAGGACCTCGGTAATTATCTAGCCACGGAATTATCTCAGCTCTAAATGGTTGTGATAATATAGCTGTTTCTAATTTCCATAACGAAGTTGATTTAGCTATTTATTTAAATTGAAGTTAAAATGAAAGGATCAATCTTCGAGATAGATAATACTAATTACTTTAATGAAATAATATCAATGTTTACTTCGTGTTTCTATATATATTATAATATTCCTGTGTGATAGATAAATACTGATCCTTCTTTTCAGTGTAATGTTACATCTCACGTTTACCAAGATCTATACAAATAAAGACTAGTGGTTGTAGCAGTCATTTAAACTTGGAAAGGGATCGTCGCCGTATGAACTCGCTTCATCCAGTATTCTTTATATGAAACACACCCCTCCCTACTGCAACGCACACTAATCGGAATCGTAACGTGGTCAAGTCTCCGTAGCCTAGCTTACGTCTCTCCGTAGCCTAGCTTACGTCTCTCCGTAGCCTAGCTTACGTCTCTCCGTAGCCTAGCTGACGTATCTCCGTAGCCTACCTTACGTCTCTCCGTAGCCTAACTGATATCTCTCCGTAGACTACCTTAAGTCTCTCCGTAACCTAGCTGACGTCTCTCCGTAGCCTAACTGATATCTCTTTTTTTTATATATCGATTTTCTAAGTACACACATTGTTTATACATTAAAATATCTGCCAAACAATTATAATATAAATAATATCTTCGAAGACTACCTTACGTCTCTCCGTAACCTAGCTGACATCTCTCCGTAGCCTAAGTGATATCTCTCCGTAGCCTAGCTGACGTCTCTCCATAGACTACCTTACGTCGGACGCCTGTTTGACGGCAAGATGAAAGGGGAGACGGTATCGATTCCTTTCCGAGTTGAGCACTGACGCTAAGGTCTACCTGCACCAACATATTCAGAATATAACCTAATCCTATTAAACTCATAATTTCACCCTTTTTCATTTGCTCAAAGTCAAATAAAGAAAAAATGAGCCTTGTTATGGAGCAATTACACTTGGGCGCTAGCCCGAGTGCCAATGGTAAATGAACGGGGTCGAGAACGCCTGTATTCGGGTAGTTTTCGTTTTGGTTACCCGACACCATCTTCCAGCCTAATGTAATTATTGCTTCGAGTGCCCTGATTTGAGTAATGTCTTTCGTGCACTCGATTACGGGCTAACGACCAAATGTAATTAAGCCATTATCTTTAAAGCTTGAAGAACTTGGTGCAAAGTGACATACGACTTAAAAAGTCTCCTAATAATTGAAATAATCTGTCTAAATAGCTATTTACTTTGTTCGACAGGGTCTAAATACCAACAGTTGGACGACGGCTCCCTGTACATAAACGCCGTCAGTCCGTCCGACCGGTACAACACGTTCCGATGTCGTGTCCGGGATCGGATCAGCGGGAAGCTGCACTCCAGCCAATTTTATGGTAAATTAAATGATACACTATCATCCTTTTATTCAACAGGTTAAAAAAACTACCGAGAGGTAGAGTAGGTGTCATTTTTACGCCCGAATCGGAGCTATGTGACTGTTTGAAAATATTACCTCCAACCAACAGAAGATCATAGTGAAATAACACTATCTTTTGGTGGTGTTGTGTTTTTTATGTTAAAAGGGTGGCAAACAAGCATATGGCCCTATTGGTAGCAAGCTGCCAACATAGCCTAAAGACGCTTGCGATACAAAAAAAATGTGTGCAAGGACCACATATCTGAAATGAAACTACTTTTCTTAAATACGCTAACATTAGGCGGTGCATAAGGTATAGGGGTGAAAGTTTTGACTTTTAAATATATATAGTCGGGTGACGCTCGTGACGCATTTCCGTTTCATCTGTTCCATAGGATTTTTCCATTTCCACTCCGTCCAAAAAGAAGTTTCCGTTCAAAAATTTTGTAGAATAAACTTAATAGAATTTCGTATACTTTACCCCATCATCGTCCCTACTAACAGTGGTATTACTATGTCCAGGTCACGTGATCGTGACTGAACCAAAGGGCGGCGTCAGACCGCGCGTGGCCATCGAGCCGCGATCCCGCCGCGTGCAGGTCGGGCAGGACGTCCGGCTCCCGTGTGCGGCGCACGCCTGGCCAGTGCCCAGTTATAGGTGAGTTTATGTCCTATCGTCGCCAATAACATCGTCGTATGATTTGACAAACTCCGTGGCCGAGTGGTATGTATGCCGGGTTTCGAGGTGTCGCCTACTCAGTGGTCCCGGGTTCGAACCCCGGTGGTGCAAATGTTTGTGTGATGAATACGAGCATTTGTAGGTACGTAAGTCATGGTATTTATACCTATTTCAAGATAATATATATGTATGAGTATATGTATTCTATCCATTATCCTAATATCCCATAACACAAGCCTACAGTGCTTACTTTGAGACTAGGCTGAAATGGTGTGTATAAAAATATTGCTATTTTTTTCGAAACTAAAAATTTCATCCCCATCATCTTGATGGGTGGCTATCCACAACCGTGCGTTTTTGTCGAAATTTTTTACCACGTACGACAAAACTGTGGAATATGTTGTCGCCAGCAGTGTTTCCGGACCAATACGACCCAAAAACCTTCAAAAAAAGAGCGTACTCCTTCCTTAAAGGCCGGCATCGCATTTGTGATTTGTGTGGGCGACGGTGATCACTTACTATCAGGTGAGCCGTCTGCTCGTATGCCCCCTATAACATAAGTGGCGACCACGCACTGGACAATGCTCTGTGGTCATAGGAAGCCGCTAAATGGGGACAGAGTGGTGAGCTCAGACCACTACCGAGAAAGTATTCGTATCGCCGTAGTCAAAGTTTCGATGGAAACTGGGAAGCGCCCCTACGGGAAGCAAGAACAAACTAACTCTTTCCATATATCGTGCTAGTAGCTCGTGTTCACCCCTCTGATCAGCACCGATTAACGTGGAGATCTTTGGTGAGGACTTATGCTCAACAGCCTATTAATGTCTACTGCTGAAACCTAAGCTTTCCCTATGGTTCTCGGTAAAGAATCTGTACAGATTCGAACGGAAAACAAAACTAGCCCGCACTAACCCGGTGTGGAAGAGACCTTAGGCACTTTTTTTATTCTATATACGTGTTTGCGTCTCACGTCTATCGTCCTTGATTGAAAAAATCAATGCTCTGTGCGGTGGAGCGCGCCTACACGTTAAATGCCGATTTACTTTGAAGATTCGCAAATTATAATCGTTCGGGACGACCGAGCAGACCGCATTAAAACGACGAGACGCAGACGATCGTTAAGCTCGTATCCGGATTAGATATTCAAAAAAAAACATTTTTTTTAATCATGAAGAAAAGTTGTAAATAATATCATGAAAAATTACTTGTTTTTTTCTTTTCGCGAGTACAGAATTCAAAACTATTAAGGTAATTGCCGTAAGTGATTAATGCTTATGAGTTTATATATTAAAGTTTTCTGTTTATTTTTAAACCTACCACACATTTTTAATCAAAAATTACCAACCAAGCTTTCAACAATTATCAATTACTCACGACTTACGAGAAAATCCACGAATTCCGAGTTTGGTTTATGTTTGGGTAAATGTGGATAAAAGTGTCAATCCTATTTTTATTACCTTTTTAAAAAACAAACAAATCCATCTTGCTTTTTTATTGCCTTCGAAGGTAGATGAGTAGACGGGCCATCTGATATTTAGTGGTCACCGTCGTCCATGGACATTAGCAATGCCAGCGACACAGCCATGCCGCTGCCTCTCTTTTTCGGCCACTCTTTTTCGGCCTCGTTTGAAGAGGATCATGCTACAGCACTGAGGAAACACCGTGGAATATGTATTGTGCGGGAAAGAATAGATCTCGTTTCAAGAGATCTTTTCTTACACGCGCATTAAAATTATAGAATGAGCTCCCCTCCACAGTGCCTATTCTATTATAATTAGTATTCCAGTCGGTATACAAGGAGGTGATATCAGTATATTAAATCATTTTTGTGTGGCCTGTTCAGATTTATTATACATGTATCATGAGATTCACGATGCTGGGTGCGTATGTGTACGGTTAGTTGGCCGCGGCCCAGCCACAGGCGCGATTATGTCGGCTTGTCCCGTTTATAATTCACGTCCATTGTTTAGAAGCGATGCCGGCAGTATAGAGGCATGTGTCTTATTAGCTATGGATTTAGCTAGAATCCTTCTAATATTATTATTGTGAAAGTTTGTTACTCAATCACACAAAAACTAGTGATCGTATTTGTTTTTAAATTTGGTATAGTTAATGACCTGGATTGAGAAATAGAATTCTTTTTATCCTGGAAGAATTACAAGTTCCTATGGGATACTGAAAAAACGTAAGGAAACGTAAAAACGTCTCGAGCGACCGCTAGTTAAATGATAAAGTCTAAGTATACAGGGTGGCCGGGGAGTTGACGTTCAAGCGTAAAATTTAGATACCTTATGATGAGGAGTATCCAAATCACCCCCATGTATGTTCTACGATTTTGCGTAGTTTTCGAGTTATAAAATTTGGAGTTGAAAGTGCTTTTAGAAACTTCCTGAGACATTAAACTTTGAAACAAGGCTAAATAAAGATAGGGTTAAGGGGAGTTTATTTTCTGTAACTGAACTTTAAAATAAATTAAGGCATTATCAAATAAAAAAAAAAATTATTTTATTTAAATCTTTGACTTCCTATGAGTTATGATGGATTTGAGTAAAATGCAGTTAATTGTTAACAAAATACATTTATTTAAAGCAAATTTTCAAAATTTCGCCCTCCCACAGAAATACACAATCTACATCTGCGCAAAAAATTATGTTTTAGGTGCCTAAAAGCTTCACGGTTATTTTTCACAGTGGTTTCAGCTTCGCGAATTTTTGCTCTCAATTCTTCTTCTCTCGAAACTTCTCTGGCGTACGCAATTTCTTTAAAGTAGCCCCAGATAAAAAATCAATAGGGTTGAGGTCAGGCGAGCGTGGTGGCCAGGCAATTGGCCCTCGTCGTCCGATCCACCTGTTGGGCTAGGTCTGGTCTAAATGACGACGCACTTGTATCGCGTAATGACATGGTACCCCGTTGTTCTGGAACACCATCATTCTTCTTAATTCAAGATTTAAATCTTCCAGTAATATGGGTAGATTGTCTTCTAAAAAACTTTTGTATGTGTCGCCGTCTGATCTCGATGACAGTTCAAATGGGCCTATTAATTCGCCATTCAAAACACCAGACCACATGTTCACGCTAAAACGATGTTGAAATGATGGTCTGGCGGCATGTGGATTTTCAACGGCCCAATGTGAAAATTGTGGATATTGAAAACCCCAGTTTGCTCAAATCTTGACTCGTCGGTCCACAAGATTTTATTAAAGTATCCGGGATCTTCTTCCTCTTTCTGCAACATAGTTCTACAAAACTCGACTCTCAATTGATAATTTGAAGGCTGCAACGCTTGTACTTTTTGTATGTGGTAGGCGTGAAATGATTCTTCACGCAAAATATCCTGTATTGAAGATCTTGGTATGTCAAGGTTACGATTCAATCGTCTTCCAGTACGATTTCCCTGCGTTCCTGATCAACCCTCTGAATGCCTTCACCGCCACGTTGGCCAGGAATGCGGCCTGCCATTAACGTATTGTGAGTATTAATGAATACACGATAGTCAGGGTAATGATCAGGTTGCGCTCCGCCTCGGTATTGAAGTTGATCCCTGTAGAGTCTTGCTGCTTCACGACCGTTGCCTTATGCAACGCTGTAGAAATAATGCGTTTCTGCATATTCACTCAGAGTGTAGGGCATCACTAACATTTCCAAGTAACTACAATCCAAATCGTTAGGCACAACGGAATCCAGTAATAAGCAGGGGTCAAACAAGTAAGCAGCGGCGGCATCAGTAGGCAAATAGTGGTCGAGAAAAAACGGCAGAACAAGACGAGTAGTAGTAAACCTCAACCCTATTCAAAAATTCGCGAAGCTGAAACCACTGTGAAAAATAACCGTGAAGCTTTTAGGCACTCCTGTGTGAGGGCGAAATTTTGAATATTTGCTTTAAATAAATGTATTTTGTTAGCAATTAACTGCGTTTTACTCAAATCCATCATAACTCATAGAAAGTCAAAGATTTAAATAAAATAATTATTTTTTTTCCTTTGAAAATGCCTTAATTTACTTTGAAGGTCAGTTACAGAAAATAAACCCCCCTTAACCCTATCTGTATTTGGCCTTGTTTGAAATTTTAATGTCTCAGGAAGTTTCTAAAAGCACTTTCAACTCCAAATCCCCACATTTACATTATTTTTTGATACTTTGAAAAGGGGGTAGCGGGTTAAGGGGGGTCTGGCGGCCCCCACCGAATCTGGTAAAATCGTTCCAAAAATCTTGAAGAGGGTCGAAAAATAAGCAGTATAAGCTTTTTACCGACATTACAACCCCAAACGAAAACACAGTAATGGCGAAAAATATGTTTTTTTTGTGATTTTTATTTTTTTCCACCAGTTTAATTTATTTTTAAATGGTTTAAATGCAATTAAAAATTTGTGTTTTATGTGTGGAAGTCCTCTGAATTTTTGCAGATTTTTTGGGCAAGTAAAAACATGTGAATATTAGGTTTAAATGCGAAAAAATCGTGAAAAACGCGTCATTTTCAAGATTCAACCCTCTTATTTTTAGGGTTGTTTTCATTTTCCCGAGGGGTGCTGTATAGTATAAATAGCGGCAATCGCCCTCTTTCGAATGCAGGCAATTGGACTCAATTTGGTCAATTCTGGTGAGCGCGGCGATATTTTGAAAAAAAACTCGAATTTTCAATTTTCAGTAAATTACGGCGCGTACTTGGTATAATGCGTCTTTGCTATAAAAATACATCTCTATAGGGGTTTTTGAGGTCGCTGATCAATAAAAATCACAAAAAATCATATTTTTGATCAATAAAAATCACAAAAAATTATATTTTTGAAAAAGATGAAATGAAAAATAAAAATCACAAAAAATCATATTTTTCGCCATTACTGTTTTTTCGTTTGGGGTTGTAATGTCGGTAAAAAGCTTATACTGCTTGTTTTTCGACCCTCTTCAAGATTTTTGGAACGATTTTACCAGATTCGGTGGGGGCCGCCAGACCCCCCTTAACCCGCTACCCCCTTTGTGTG